TCAATTATTTCCTTGGGCCAGGGCTGATTTATCTGTCTGATTAACATTGAAAGTCACAGATTGATAGAAAGCAGTACATGTGTAGGATTTATATAGACAAACACACTCATCAGTTGCCACGTAACAACACCGTGAGGCTGGTGTTGGACAGGGCGAGTTAGCTCTGCAGGCCAACGACAGCAGTTGCCTGGCCCAGGCCACCAAGCTGGGGGTGGGGGGCTGCACTGCTGGACCCGAAAGGGGGACTTTGCTTCTGAGCCACAGAGCTCAGACATGCAATAAGAACTGGGGGTCCTCTCTAGCCCACCAGACAGACATGAGAAGCCCCAACAAGATCAGCTACCTGTGGGTCATTTGGTGTTACTCATTTCCAAGGCAAGTCCTATTGGAAGCTCTGAGTAATGGCTTCGTTTGGCTTGAGTGTCCCCCAGCTCTAAGCTGCCTGCGTCTCTGTACCGCGACTCCCCCGCCCCGGGTCTCCCCCCTGCCCTTTGTGATCGCCCCACAGCTCCTTATGTATTCTTTAATGCACCGTGCAGTCAGTGAGTGCCTACTCTGTGTCAGGCCCTGTGCACTGTGATGGGGAATACAAAGATGAAGAGAATAGTTCCTGCTTTGGAGGGCTTACAATCTAGCAGGCAGAGCTGAACATCAGAAATAAATGCTACAAAGAGTTTTGTGTGTTGTGATGGAGAGGGCTCCGAGGAGGATGCTCTTGGCGCTGACTCCTACGTGGTGTAGCCCATCCAAGATGTCAGCTTCCTGGAAGAGGCGCCCCAGGGCAATGAAATGATTTCAGCTAGTGTATTGTACAGGACTGCCATGGTCTCAGCAGGAGAATGCCCAGCTGAGGGAGTGGGGGCTGGAATCCAGCCAGCTTTGCTCGCCAGAGCTGTGTGCCCAGGCGAGGATCTGTGTCTGCCCAGGGGAAGAGGCATGATTTTCTAAGTCAGACACAGGCGGCTGGGCTGGCACGTAACCACTTTATAGCAATAGGGCCGCTCCCCATGAGTATCTCATCTGATGCTCTCAACAACCAAGAGCCGCGGCTTGAGGACGCATGGATGCTGGAGAAGTTCCGTGCCTTGCTCTGGATCACAGGGATGGAAGTGGCAGAACCAGCACCCTGCACTGCTTCCCTCTCCCTTGCATCATCCGGACCGTGCGGTTTCTGAAGGCCTTTAGCACCTGTGGCGGGTCCTGCCCTGTCCCCAGTGGCGTCAGGCGTGAGGTCTGGGTCTCTGCAGTGGAGGAAGGAGCAGCGAGTAGCCCCGGGGCTCAGGCGCTGAAGGGAGCAGCAGGCTGTTCTGCCCCTGGGCCCCCAGGCCCCGCTGCACATCTCGCTGCAGCTAACGAATTGCTAATACAATTTTCTAGGTAATTTTATTTCCATAGCCCCACATTTTAATGTGCTTCCAAAAGCTAGTATTTATTTGCTTCATCTCCGAGTGTGATAGAAGCTGACACGCCACACAGCAGAGTCAGCTAGGCAGAGACTACAGCAGATAGTTGGATGGCTCAGATCTAGTCCCGAGATTTTTAACTCGCGCGCACTGGTAGCCTTTCTGTATCTCATCCACTTCTCCCTCCACCCTTATCCTTTCTATTTTTTTGCAAATATTTTTCCATCCCCTCAGCTGCTGTAGGTCTCCAAACAGAAGAATGGGGGAGAGGGTGCCCGTGTCTCAGGCGAGGTGGAGCCCTCTTGCTTGTGGGGTGTCCCGGGGGGTTGAGAGAGACCATATAGGGACAGAGTGTGTTTCCTTTCCATGTGGCAATGCTCTGACTTCAAACTGGGCACCACAGCTCCACGCTTCCCGGCTTGTGCCCAGGCCGGGCCGCAGCAGGCCACCCACCCCCACCCGGCCTTGTTTCTCCACTTCAGCTGCTGTCCTTATAGCCCCTGCCCTCGTCCGTTCCCCACCTGCAGAGGCAGTGTGGGGGTTGTCAGCTCTGTCCCCGCATGCAGCCACTGCTGTTGGTGCCCAAGCTGCCCCCAGGGTGTCGCCCTCGCAGGCAGGTTGCATGGTGGGGACGGTGCCAGCACTGCCTGCGTGCACTGCCCCCCAAATGTGGTCCAGGCTGCCCACCTGGCCTTGTGGCGCTCCATCACAGACCCCTGCTAACCTTCCTGCGTGTCTCCATCCTTGGGCTCTGTCCTGGGCCCTGCCTGCTCTGAGCCTGCCTGCGGGGTTTCCACCTCCGGGGCCCGCCTCCCGGCCCTCAGCCTCTCAGGACTTTGCGTTGCTCAGAGCCGAACACAGAATGTTCTCCACAGCCCTCTGGGGTCCCCTTATCTTATCCTTGGGCCGGAACCTGACTTGTCTGTGTCCCCAGCTAGTCTGGAGCCCTGGGCCTCTGGTTGATCTCGGCACCCCCGTGTCACCCAATCTCAGCACCCCCGTGTCACCCAGCACAGTGCCTGCACTCGGCAGCATCTCTGAGTGGGTTCAGGCCACCCCGAGAGTCAGGGCTGCACAGAGGGTGGCTGTGAGCAGCCTTGGGCAGCCCGAGGGGGCAGAGTGCTGTGGGATGTCTGTCTGCCCTCCAGGGGGTGCTGGCCCTCAGAATTCCTGCACCTGGCCTGGTAGGCTCGGGTGGCCCACTGAGAATGTTGTGTTCCTTGTGACCCGGGTTCCTTCAAGACTGGGGATTTTAACGGGTGTGAAAGAGGAAACTTGGGCTCTTAAGGGGGATAGCTTGCCCAGGAGGCCTCCTCCACCTGCCAGTTTAAGGCAGCTGTTTGACATCTGGCTAAATCAGGGCTCTGAGGGGTGAGGGTTAGGGGCAGAGGGGGCCGGGGCTGGGGACTCCTGGGGTGAAGCAGTGAGGACAGCTGTATCCCAGTGCTCACTGCCCATTATCCCTGGGCATGTTAACCAGGAGGGGCTAGACATGAGGGCTCACTGTCGACTCGTCTGCCTCCGCCTGGGCAGGCCACTCCCCAACTGTGTCCCTCCATCAAGGGCAGCCAAGCACCCCAGTTCCTCCCAAAGCTCTGCCGGCTCCAGGGTCGGAAGGCTTCAGAGAGCTATGCCTTGTGACTCGGCCTCAGTCCGCTGCCCCAGCCCAGGGTCTCTAACCGTTGCTGGACGGGACCTGATGCACCGGGGCTGCTGAGCCAGCGGGGTTAGAGTCGGCTTGCTGGCGCTTTGCAGGAGAGGCCCAGAGAGCAGGTGGCAGACCCGGACGTGGACGTGGGCCCAGCTTGGTAGCTGCTGAAGTCAGACCGACTGGGGTATTTTCAAAGCCTGACTGCCTCTTTCTGACTGTGACCTTAGGCAAGTTGTTTCCCATTTGTAAAATGAGGGTTGGAACGCCTGCCCTGTGAGGGTGCAGGTTTTAGATGAGATGATGGCACAGAAAAAGCACCTTGCTCAGCACCTGTTAGTTCCCTTTCCTCCTGCCCTTGTTTATATTCCATCTCCCTGTCCAGCCTCCCTGGGTGAAGGAGCCCAGCCTGGCTGCTGGGGCCCAGGCTTCAGGGCATCTGCAGGGGAGGCCGGAAGGGTGGAGAAGGAGCGGGGGCGAGAGGTCCCAGCCGTGAGTGGACAGGCCTCCCGCATGGCTCCTTCCCGCACCCCACTTTCCACCAGGACCTCCCTGATTGCCCACAAACAACAACTCCCAGCAGCCTAAACTCTGGCCCAGCTCCTCCCTCCCTCCGGCCAGGCTGACCGCTCCAGGCCCCACACCTTCTGTGTGTGTCCCTCCCACAGGGGGATGGCTGCCCACAGGTGCCTCTGCCCAGGTGCTGGCAGAGAGGCGAGCCGATGGGCTCTCCCAGGGCATTGGTGAGCTTGGGAAACAGTCCAGGATGGGGCACAACAAGCCGACAGCTGGGACTCAGATGGTGGGTGTAGACGCCGCCTCATGGGATGCTGTCCCCAGAAAGGCCGCGGCTCCCCAGCTGCATCAGGAAGGGGGTTGGTGACAGAGAAGGGCAGTCTGTCTCTATGGGCACCACGGGGCACCTGCCTGTGCTGGCTGGCGTGGGATGACCTCTCACGTCACACGTTAGCTTATAATCCTTCACAGCTGCCCGTTGGTCCTGGGCTGAGGCCTGCAGTCCTTAACATGGCTTCCAAGGCCCCGCACTGCCTGGTGCCGCCTGCTTCTTTGGTCTCCTCCCTGCTCGCCCCCGGCTGCTGCAGCTCGGCCCTTCTTCTGCTTGACCTGTGACCCGCCGCGTTTCTTTCCAGCCCAGGGCATTCACAGATCCTGTTCCGTCTCCTGGGGATGCTCTCCGCACTAGCCAGTGTGCAGGGTAACATCTATGGTGAGAGCAGGGACTTCGTGTAGTTTCCCACGTTCCATTCCCAGAGCCAAGTGTCGTACTTGTAGAAGGTACTAGAATAATATTTCTCCAGTGAATGAACCCTTAAGTTACATGCTTTGAGTGGAGAGTGGTTAAAAGAACCCGGTCGGTAGCTAGTGTCAGGAGAGGGTTCACATCCAGGCTGCTGAGCTCAACTCCAGCTCGGCCACCTATAGATTCATGGAACTTCAGGCAAGTCACCCGGCCTCACTGCCTCAGTTTCCTTATCTGGAGAGTGAGGAGATACCGCCTACCTTTTGAAGATGTGATTTTAAATGGGTTATATCCAAACAATGGTTGGCACGTGGTGTCTTCATTGTGATTCCCCCCTACATCCTTCTTCCTGCCCCAGATGCTGCAAAGTCCCTGACATATGCCCCCTTGGGCCCTCCTTTGACGCAGCAGCCCGCGCCATGCAGCCCCCATTTGCTGGGGTGACGAGTTTGTGTGTCTCTCTTCCACTGGACTGCCAGTTCTGTAAGGATGGGAAGGAGGTGGGGTTTGTCCCCCATCACCGGCACATGCGCGGTGCTCAGCATCGCCAGCCTGGGCTGCCTCTGAGTTTGCCCTGGGCACAGGGCCTGCGGCACTGTGCCTGACGCTGGCTCCTGCCCCGGCCTGGATGGGTGGAGCGGCCCCGCAGCCCACGCCCCTGAGGCTCTTCCGCTCCTCTCCCCTGCAGGCACGGACATGGCTGTCTTCTGCCTGCTGTGCGGGAAGCGGTTCCAGGCACAGAGTGCGCTCCAGCAGCACATGGAGGTCCACGCGGGCGTGCGGAGCTACATCTGCAGCCAGTGCAACCGCACTTTCCCCAGCCACACCGCCCTCAAGCGCCACCTGCGCTCACACACAGGTAGGTGGTCCGTCCGGGCGGTGGTGAATGGGGGCCTCCGGAAAGCAAGTGTGGGACTCACCTCTGGGCACAGAATGGAGGTGCTGGGCAGAGTGGGCAGGCCTCCTCGGCTCGGTGGGCATGGAGGGCTCCCACAGTGCTTGGGAGTGCGGACAGCTCTCTGGGCCCACTGTGCAGACCTTGGGTTTTTTTAACCTGTGCTCAACAGAGAGGGTACCGCTAAAAGTGCAGGCTCTTGGGTCGCACCCTCAGAACCAGACTCAGGGTATGGGGTGGGATGCAAGACCCGACCCTATTAGTAAGTATTCCCAAGGGATTCTGACACAGGTGAGCTCAAAACACATTTTGAGAACAACCTACCTGCTTGGTCTCTGCCTCTCTCTGCCGCATCCCTGCCACTCACTGGCCCCCAGCCCGTGTTCACACCCTCCAGAAGTCAGCCTCAGGCCCTCAGGTAACATTGCAGAAGGATCCTGCTCATTCCACAAGGACAGATGCATGCTTGGGCCTTAGACCCGTTTAGGGAAGACAGTGAGGGCGATGTGAAAACAGGCCATGAAAGATCCCAGCTAGTCACGGTGACAGAGGGGGGCTGCGCCAAGTGCCCGGGAGCTGGCTAGTCCCTGCCAGTCCCCCTAGATTTGGGGGCTGGGACGCTTGGTCCCTGAGGGCCAAGAGGCATCTGCTTCCTTGAAGCAGCCCCTGTTCCCTATCCAGGTAATGGGTGACTTAACTTTCTTCCTCTGTCACAAAATGGGGTCTTTGCTGATGGTACATGGATCAAGGGCTGCCCGCTTTCTGCTTGTGTGTCTGCATGCATTCTGTCCTGGGTTTGGGGTGAGAGGTGGGTGACAGTGGGTCCAGGGAGATGAAGGGGCGTACTCTCTGGATGTACGCTCATATGGTTGGAAAGGATATAGAAAACTGCCTCAGAGCAGAAATGGCAGGACCCTTTCTCTCCTCATTCTTGAGTCCTTGGGGATGAGGCCTGCAGGCCGAGCCTTTGATGGGTGGCAGCTGCCTAAAGAGGGAGGGGCTTTATCACAGACTGAGCTGGCCTGCCCTGCCCTGCCCTGCCCTGCCCTGCCCTGCCAGCAGCGGGCCTCTCACCAAGGAGCCTGCCTGGGTACTCGCTGCCGGATGCCGTTCTGTTCAGAGGCGCGTACAGCCTGAGCATCACCAGGCTTGTGTAGAACTCTTCAGATTTGCTGGCACAGGACAGGGACAGCAGGAGGTCCCAGAGGGCAGGGCCTGACAGGGAGAGCTGGGAGGAAGGGCTGCTGGAGGGACACTCTGGTGACTGACAAGCATGCCCCTGCAGGTACATGCACCGTCCTGTCAGTACCTCGTCCACTCGGTCCCCAACTTATGAGCACCCTGCTGGGTCACATCAGTTGGCTACGTGTGACTTGGATGGCCCCAGCCCTGCTAAATCCACCGAGTGCATGCCCTGCTCTGCCCATGCGAGAGCTCAGGTATCAAAGTGTCACATGCCCGTGTCTGTCAGTCACGGCTCAGATCGTGCAGAGGGGCTGATTCCAGACACAGTTTGGGAGAAGTACTTGCTTAAACTAGGAAGCATGGAGACGTGCGTGGCCCATGCCCACCCCACCCCCACTGATTTTCACACCAGCGAGGCCCTGTGCACACAAGCTCTGTATATGCCAACCACCCCCCGCCACACACACACACAATGCTTCATGAATATTCCGTTGTTCCTGGCCCAGTTGCGGCCGGCCGGGGCTGGGTGTTTAGCATCTGCAGCTGTGTTTGGTACATTAGTCCAGCCACGCTCTTGGCATTGATGGATTCCTGATTCACATGGCTCCTCATATAATAAACTCAGCTGGGCTGCAGGGCAGGGCCTGAGGAGCCTCTGGGATGAGGCTGGGTGGGGAGGCTGCACTGGGCCTGGCCCGTGCGGGGAAGCCACCCAAGGACAGGCCGCTGGGGTCACAGGTGCGCTGGGCCAGCAGAGGGGCTCTGATGAGTCTCGTTTGTCCTGCACTTAATGTCAAGCTCATTAAAGAGGCTACAGAGTTAATCAACATACCACAAATTGGATTTTGAGTCTGCGGCCAGCGCTGTGTACGTTATAGCAATACTGACACCATCAGCTCTCAGGGTGAGGGTTTTATTTTAGGCCAGAGGCCTTTGAATCTGTGTGTGTGTCTGTCTTTGTTTCTTACCTTCTAAGTTCTTTTCATTCCTTTCCCAAGGCTGACTCTAGAGATTTCCTATTTAAACTCAGTTAACATGTGATACACTTCATAATTAAATTCATAAAAATCTGATCTGACAAACCTCTCTGCCTTAACCCTTTGTGTTTTAAACTCTTGGGGCCCTTCCGGAGGGGAAAGGCACTCCCCCAGCTGGGTGGCTGCTGATGTATGTTTTAATTACCAGCTCCAGCTGAAGTCTCACGTGGCCCTTGCTGTATTTATTTATTTATATCTTAATGAGGATACTGAATCCTTGATTAAAGTCATAATCGTTGCCAGTTCGGTAAGGAGGGGGAGTTGCATGTCAGACAGGGCTGTCTGCAGACATCACACAGCGAGTGTGGCATGCGGGCCCAGGTGTGCACAGGCTGACCCTCGCTCTGTCAGACACTCAGCTAATTAGGGACCCGGCTCTGCACGGGCCTCTGCTTCTCTTGATTTGATGGGGCTGGAGACTGGGGACCTGGCAGCGAGAGGACGGGCAGGTGCTGAGAACCCCCGGACTCAGTTCACGCCCAGGGCTGCGTGGGAGGGTCTCACTGACTGTGCGCCTGCATCAGGGTGACACTGCTCAGGCTGGTGAGAGCTGGTGTTGTCGGCTGGTTCCGCTCTCGGAGCTTCTGTCATCCAGCTCCTCAGAGGAAGTGCTCTTGCCCACCCTATGTGCCCTCAGAGCCTCTTGCAAATCTTTCACCACGGAGGGCCAGCCAGTGAGCAGTCCCCGTGTCCGGTCCCCACAGAGCCTTAAACACCCTTCAGGGCCATCAGAAGAGATGAGAATGTACGTGGATACGGGGCCTGCGTTCAAGAGTGGGGAGGTTTGGTTAGTGGCCTGAGGAGGGGAGAAGAGAAGAGAGTAAAATATCATTTTAAAGAGGAAGTGAAGGCACAGAAATGCGAGTCTATAACGAGAAGGACAATTTATGCCCAGGCACGACCACAGTTTGACATGGGGATAATGAAAAAACGTAGGTCATTGTGGATGACTTAAACCTTCAGCAGCTGAAGAAAATGTATGAAATGCAGAGGACATTACACGGTTGGCAGCCCCACACATCTGCAGAGGGACAAGTGAAATACAGTGGGCCATTCTTTACCATAAACTGGTTGTGGGAGATACAGCCCAGAGAAATTGTAATTACAGTGACAAGACGAATCAGCGATATTTAAATATTCATGAACAAAGTCTGGGGTGATCAATCTATCTTTATTGTCTGTGCCTTCACTCCTGTAATAAATAAGTAGCTGAAGTCTTCACCTTTCATCCCTCTAAGGCCCCCCGCCTTGGGTACAAAGCGAAAGATGGTTAACCCCCCACACCCCAACCTCTCAGCCTCCAGGGGACTTAAGAGTGGAATGCGCAAAAAGGTGGCTGGTGGCACGGGTCCAAGGAAAGGCAGTTCTCCGCAAGGTTCATGCGCCCATTGCCTGAGCGTCTGCTCTGGGTCACCTCTGTGCTGCGCTCATCTGAAGCTACAAGGATGAGTGGGGTTCCCTTCTTACCCTGAAGGAGCTTCCACTCCAGAGGCACAGGTGATAGTAGGTGACAGCGTGGCGGATCTGTCAACCAGTGACGCAGTAAGCATCAAGCGTCTGGACTCTGGAGCCAGATCTGAATCCTGACTCGGCTGCTTCGTAGCTCTTTGACCTTAAGGACCCCGTTTAAGCATCTCTAAGCATCTCGTTTTTTCTCATCTGTAAAATGGGGAGGATATCTTTCTTGTGAGGTTACTGTGATGATTACACAATATGATCCATGTGAAGTTCTTAGCACAGTAGCAAGCACTCAACAGATGTGGGCTGTTTTAATTAGAAAGTGCCACAAAAATGGTACGACTACTAAAACAGCACAATGCCAGCATTTCTCCTCTTTTGGGACAGAGAAGAAAGTGATGTAATGTGCCTGGGGGGGCTGAAGAGGAACTTCCAAGTCATGGTGATGTACGAGCTGGGCCTTGAAGGATGACTAGGAGTTCACTGGGGAAAGAAGAGGTCAAGCAGAGACTAGCTGTGGGGGAGGGAAAGGGCAGAAACCATTTGGGGGGCAGTGTTCTCACTGTTCCCAAAATGAGAGGGATTATTTTGAGGCTTGGGGAGTCAGGCTGGCTCGGCCTTTTCCCCAGCTGAGGGAAAAGAAGAGAAGGTAGCCCGGGAGGCCAAGGGACAAGGTCTCAAAGCCCCCAAGTCTGCTCTGCCCTCATGGGGGCCTGCTTTCTGGGCACTGCTGTTCATCCCTGAACCACATGGGCTGTCTTTTCCCAAGACAAGAGGCCCTTGACCCAGATGACCACCGGGCCAAAGTCAAACCCAGCCGCGTGTGAACACGTGTGCTTGCTGTTTATGCCCGGGGCGGGGGGGTGCCAGCCAAAGCCGGGATCCCTACATCGTCTTCACAAGCAGGTGCACCGAACGTGGCCTGCTGCCCCTGAAGGAGGGCACAGGGGTGGGCCAGGGCCTGATCCAGCCCCTTCCCCACAGGCGACCACCCGTACGAGTGTGAGTTCTGTGGCAGCTGCTTCCGGGATGAGAGCACGCTCAAGAGCCACAAGCGAATCCACACGGGTGAGAAGCCCTACGAGTGCAATGGCTGTGGCAAGAAGTTCAGCCTCAAGCACCAGCTGGAGACGCACTACAGAGTGCACACAGGTACCGGGGCCAGTGGGGGTGTGGGGGGCAGATGGCCCCCCAGGGAGGCCCGGTGGGGGATGGCCAAGGGTGAGCTGGAGAGCCCAGGGGGAGGGGGAGGGGGAGGGGGAGGGCCAAGGCTGAGCCGAGAGCAGAACAGGTTCTATCAGGGGTTAGTGTTAGTGTGGGGGTGCGAGTGCCCCCCCCCCCCCCCCAGGAGCCCAGGCCAGCCTGTAGGGGCAGCCATAGCAGTGTTCACGGATGTCATTTATTTGCACATGAGGGTTAAGTTGGCCTGATCAGCTGAAAGTGAGGCTAAGATGGCTTCCTGTCTGTGTGGGTTATAGTAAGAACTTGGGGGCATTCAGTTAGGCTTAGGTTAAGGAGGACGTTTGGCAAGAAAGTAAGTTAGATTGCGTTCTGTTCAGAGGTTAGAGAGCAGGTGTATTTGCTAACCAACCCCTACGTGTATGTTTTATCATTCAAAGGCCCTTCACATCCCTTTTTCCGTAGAAGAAACATGAGCAACTGTTTTCCTAGGGTCTGAAGACAGAACAGGTGGACGTGGCCTCCACGTCCAAGTTGCCAGAGGTGGGGTGGGTAGGACGCTGGCACTGGCCTGCACCTGTCTGCAAAGGTCAGCTTGGCACACCTCTCCCCAGTTCCGAGTTCAGTGACGTCCCCTTGGTTGCTTAAAGTCACCGTGGTGGGACCACGTGTTCACAGTGTGGCCATCAGCAGGTGCCACAAAAGCTACAAACTTGGGGCTGTTTGGAGAGCCCATTGCTAAGCGTTCACCACCAGCACACTGCTGGTTGAAGGACGGCAGGTATTCAGAAGGACTTCTGAGGACAGGAGGCAGTGGGCAGTAGTGGGATCCGGCAGGCGAGGAAGCCTTCCCTGACCAAGGGGGAGAGGTGGCCTCACGCAGACCCAGCTGGCGGAGGGGAGAGCCTGCTTCCACGGGAGGGGGGTGGCGGGTGGACAGAGGGGCCAGAGAGCAGAGGGTACGTGCCGTCGGGCCCGCTCCTTGTCTCCGGCATGGGCCACAAGAGGCTGGGCGGTGGTGTGCTCCTTGCTGACTGCTGTAGCTACCCTGAGGGTTTCCCGGAGCCCGGGGGCTTCCGTAGCCCCTTGTCGGGGATGTGACCCAGCGGGCGGATCATTAAGCGCATTGGCAGTGACTATTGTAAATAGCCGATCGATAGTTAGATCACTTTGGCTGTTCATTACTTCATTATTTGCCGGGGCCTCTGCGCGAGGAGTATCGATGGCGAGATGGCTGGCCAGTTAATTACTGTACTGAAACAAGGCTGCCTCACATCCTCTGCTCAGCTCCAGGGCCTTCAGCAGAGGACAGTCAGGGGGCAGCCAGGGTGTGGCCACGCGTCCCAGGGTCTCTGCCCCCCCGCTCCCCCCCGACTCAAGCTCCAGGGGCAAAGGCCGGGTTCCCTCCGGTGTTCCCCGCCACCTGCAGCTCCGTCCTTCTTTCCTGCGTGGAGTCCTCCCATCGCCCTGCCCCCCTGGAGGGAATGTGTTGAAGAGCCGTCCGCAGGAGTGTTGGGGGCTGCCCCACCCCTTTCCCAGACCCCCTTTCCTTTCTTCAGAAGGGAAGGAGGGCCGGGAGCGAGCCCAGGGGCTAGAGCTGAGCGGAGCAGGTGCCGCAGCCATGAGTTCCCTGGGGCGGCCTCCTTTCCCTGCAGTGAAGCGAGAGGGGCCGGAGTTTGTGTGGCACCGCCACGGTGCGGGCGCTCGGCGGCCCCCGTGGCTCCCGGCCGCCTGGCGGGGCTGTGCCTCCACGGCGAGGGGCCGGGTGAGGCCCCGGCCTGCCCGACCTCCTCCATCCCCGCCCGCGGAGGCGCTCACGGCCCCCCTGCTTTGTGCCTCCCCGCAGGCGAGAAGCCCTTCGAGTGTAAACTGTGCCACCAGCGTTCCCGGGACTACTCGGCCATGATCAAGCACCTGCGCACGCACAACGGCGCAGCGCCCTACCAGTGCACCATCTGCACCGAGTACTGCCCCAGCCTGTCCTCCATGCAGAAGCACATGAAGGGCCACAAGCCCGAGGAGATCCCGCCCGACTGGCGGATAGAGAAGACTTACCTGTACCTGTGCTACGTGTGAGGGAGGCCACGGGGACTCCAGGGGGCAGCGAGGAGTTGGGGGGGCGACGAGGAGGGACGGCAGAAGGAGAAGGACAAAGGGAAGGAGAGAAAGGAAAGCTGGTCGCCGCCTCTTGGATTCCCCCTGGGCTCCGGGTGCCCGGATCCCCGGGGCCTCTGTCCCTCCTTTGCGGGCTGGACGCTGCCAGCTTTTCCCGTGGGGTGGGATGGGACGGTTCTGTTCAGCTTGGAGGGCGGTGTGTTTTTCTCTTCCCTGCACCCAGACCTTCCCTCTATGTCTGGAAATGAGACAAGGAGTATGGGGGGCATCCGCTGGTCAGAGCCAGACCATCTCCACCTGCCCTCTCACCGGCTCCTCCAGACACCGGGCAGGGCTGGGCTGGGTCGGGTCACGGTTGGCACCCCAAATGGCAGCTCTGGTTCGCTGGGGGCAGGTTGGGGTGGGGAGGGGCGCACCTTGCCCCACCAGCTCAGTTCATCCGTTGCTTTGCTCTGCTCTGCCAGCCTGGGTGTCTGTCCCCTCACAGTCTGGAGAAGCCTCGTGGCTCTTGCCCCTGCCTCCCCTTGACTCCTGTCCTCCAAGCCCCGGGGGCTGCCTGCGTCTCCTGGATGGGATGGCATCTCCCTCCTCCTCCAGCCCCCTGGTGAGGAAGCCAAGTCTGAGCCCGGTTCCCACCCTTAGCAGAAAACACAGCAGGTTACGGAGGAGCTGCCCCACCCTGGCCAAGGCCTGTTGTGAGGGAGACTCCTGCTGAGTTACTTTTGCTTCCAAAATGGGAAAACAGAACAACTAAATATATACCATCCCACCCAGCCAACAAATATAGGTCCCTACCGCCTGCTCACAGGCCTGGGAGAGGGGCTCCACGAGCCGGCCCGGCCGTCCAAGGGAAGGTGCCGCCTCCTTCAGAAGTGGGCCACACTTGGAGAAGGGACCCACTGCCCAGGGGCCCGGGCAGCTGGCCAGGGAGGGAGTGGTTGTGTCCTGCTGGGGACCCTTTGACCCTAGGGGGCCAGGGGACCCCAGACCCAGGGAGCTCTGGGAAAACCCAGGTCCAGAGGGTGGCCCTGAACGCCTGGCTCACAGGCCCCAGTCCGCAGGGAGGAGGGAGCTGGACATGCTTTGGCCTCGTGTTATGTTTTGCCTCGTCTCTGTGTCCCCTGTTCCCTGTTAGCACATTGTACTTGAATTACCTCAGTTTTTTGTGACCTCATGAGCTTTTTTAACCCCTGTATCTCTTTTTCGGTTGGGGTTCAGAGGAATGGGGAGGGTATTCTTTTCTGTTTCTTGTGTAAGTTAATAGTTGGGGTAATAGACTTCAGCCCCCAGGACCCTCCCCAGCCCTGGCACCCAGCGCCCCCCCGGGGAGGAGCTGGGCACTCAGGACCTGCGTGTGAGGGGCGGATGCGGGGGGCCTCTGGAGGCGCTGCTGGCTCTGCCCGGCGCACAGCATCCCCTGCGCCCGGCATCAGTTCACTGCACAGAAGATCCCGCCTTTCTTAGAATTTGCTGGGTCGTTGGGACCTGCGGATCTGGATTCAGATCCTGGCAGCCCTGCTGCCCCAGCTCCGTGTGCATTATCATCGCCAAAACCAGCCCCTTTTCCCGGCTGGTGAGGGGAGGAGCCAGCCTTTGTCCTGTTGCACTGGGGCGGGGCTGTTGTTTTTCCGAAAGCTACCTCTGTTCCTCGGTGGCCCCTTCCCGCCTCCCCGTCTGCTGCTCTGCACCTCCCACTCTGCCTGGCCTCCCCACCCTGAGTTTGGAAAGCCCACATTTGCAATATTTGTGTTCACTTTGGGATGGACCCTCCGCTTCACCTCACGCTTTATTTGTAAGAGTCTTGGGTTGTTTTCTTTCCTTTCTCTCTTTGAGGAAGTTGTGGCTGCGTTTTTATCTTAGGTTTGAAAAAGCAGTTTAGGGCACCGGTTTTGGGAAGAAGGGGTTGTGAGGACCTAGGGAACTCGGGGGGCTGGGAACTGCTGTGACCCACCACCCCCTGCCCCTCGGCCCCACCCCTTCCTCTCCTGCAACCTCGCCGCCAGATCCGAAGGCCTTAAAAATGGTGTGTCGGGGGGACGCGTGGGGGGACTGTGTCGCTAGACTGTTGATTGGGGATGATACAGTGGGGAGGATCTATTTTGCAACTATAATAATGACTTAGTGCTTTGGAAAGGGAAAAAAAAGTTAAACTTGAAATATGTACCAAGAGCAGACGTGTTTATAATGTGAAAGAGAGAAATCATGTGGTGGGGGGCAGTCTGTCAAATCATTATGCACTACTGCTTCCTCCCCAGTGGGAAGGAGGGGGGACCGGCTGCCCACAGGGGATCTGAAAACCCCAGAAAACAGTATTTTAATAGCAAGATATCATGCAACTTTGGTGTGGGGAAGGAAAGAAAAATCACACTGTTCCTAGGCCTCCCCGACACCTCTCACTGTCCCCGCCCTCGCCACGCAGGCTGGGTCTCCTCCCCTATTTGTAAAACTGAGAGGTTTTGAGCTGATACTTGCAAATTGTAATATTTTTGTAATGGTTGTTAGTTCCTTCATCAGTTCTGCAGGACCTTGCCCGTTCCTTTTGTCATGTGAACAGGAAAAAAAAAAAAAGAAAAAAATCCACCATCACCACCACAACACCCCTTCGTGTGTGCCCATCCCGCAGTGTCACTGTCTGGGGATGGCGCTGCATCAGCGCCCGTGGGCCCCGCTGTCCCTGCGGGATCTGAGGAGGGAGGTGGGCACGGGACAGGGCACGTGGCTGGGGGAGGACACTGGGTGGCAGGGCTGCCTGTGCTGCCCGCCCCTCCCTCCTGCCCCGTGAAGGCCCAGCACCCTGAGGAGAGCCTGGCATGCCTCCTTCCCCGCTTCCTACCCACAAAGACCAGAGTCTTGGCCTGGCCGAGGCTGTCTCGGGAAATCACCCGTGGGCCTGGACAGGTGTGGGTGGAGGGGCCGCTCTCCCCAGATGAGGGCCCAGTGTCCCCCTCCCTTGCCTCTCTGCCACCTGGCCCCTCGGCGCCCACTGCCTTTGCTGTGGCACTGCTGATGACCCCACTTTACTGCCTTACCCAGCGTGGTGGAGCCTCTCCAGCCGGGCACGTCCAGGCTGGCCTGGGGTCCCTCCTCCACGTTCAGCTCCTCCAGGCGTGTCCCTTACTGCTCCTGGTGACACTCACCGCTCACTCATGCTCTTTCCCTATTCACGCCTTCGCTCATTCGAAGCATTAAGATCCTATGTGTATATAGGACAAATATAGATATATATATATATATATAGCAAGAGATATAAAATAGTAAATATCATTGCTGCTTTGCGCTGCTGGGAGGAGGCCGCGGATACGGGGAGGGTCTGGAGGCTGGGGACCCAGTGATTCAGCACAGTCCAGGGATGCAACGCGGGCTTGTTGAGTCTTTGTGCCTGAACAGTTTTTCCATGTTTAGAAAGAAAACTGATGCAATTTTTCACGAGTGTGTGGTGCCCTTCCGGGTGCCATGGGTATAGCCGACTGCGGGAGTGTCCAGGCCCCGAAGGGAGAGGGTCGTTGGCCTCCCTCCTCCTGAGACACTGCCGGCAGCCTTCAGGCTCTGGCTGTGAAGGGCGGCAGGAAGATTTGTGGCCAGTTCCCTGCACACCTTGGAAGAGGAGAGCTGGAGGCACCGGGTGTAAGACAGAAAAGCAGAAGGAGATGAGACTGTTATTTTTCCTGGGCCCGTGTCATACCCTCCCGTCTGCTGTCCTTCCTCCTGGAGCTTCTTGGCGGGGTGCACCTGAGTATCTCAGCAGGAGGTATAAAAAAGCCAGATTAGCCGTACCTGGTTTGACTGATGGGCGAAGGGGAAAGGCCGAGCCAGCCAGGAGAGGGATGCAAGACAGACCCGGGGGGCCGGGTCGGGGAGAGGGTGGGGAGGCGGGCACAGGCCTGTTAGCCAGCAGCCCTGTGTCCCTGAGCCCTTGGTGTCCCACTCTGCAGACAGGGTACCAGCCTCCTGGCGGCTGTCAGAGATTTTGTCCACATAGCGTCATGCATGGTCTGTGTAAGGTGAAGAGGCTGTTGGTGCACCATGGCGTCCGACCCGTATAAATAAAGATAAATAAATAAATGTATGTATGTAGGTCGAAGCACTGAGGGCCTGCTGCCCGGCTGGACCAAGCGAAGCTCAGCCTTTCGGTTTGGGTATTTTGTGTTGCTGTTTTGTTTGTTTTTGTGGCTTGTCCTGTGTGGTGACAGCACAAGGGCCAGTCGGACGGCCTTGCGTCACAGAGCAGTGTGTTGATCCATTGGTGTTCTAGTTCATGTCTACCTCAGCACCTCCTCTTAGCCTAATTTTAGGAGGTTGCCCAATTTCGTTTCAATTTTACCTGTTAGTTTTTTTGTACAAATCTCTCTCTCCTGCCTTCTCCAGCCCGCCTGCCCTTCCCCTCCTTCCACCAGCTCCTCCCGCCCTGCCCTGCCCCGCGACCCCACGTGGTGCTTGCCAGTCTCTGTTCTCGTCCAGAAGCAGTTCACTCAAAGTCCTGTGGTCCTGCGCGCAGCTTCACGCGTCCGCCTGCGTTTCGTGTAGATGGATGCGTTTCTTTGTAATTTCAGTGTTTCTGACAAGACTTAAAACAGAAAAAAAAAAAAAAAAGAAATTTACTGCTGCAGGTTTTTTTCTCTCTCCATGTGTCACTAAGTGAAGTTTGTGCCTTCTATAGCAAAGAGAATATTTTTTACATCCTACTAACAGTAGATTTTTTTGTAGTGAACATTTTTTGTATTTTTATTTATAAGTCTCATAAGAAAAATAGCAATGTTCAGTTGTATACCTTGAATCTGCAGTTAGAAGAGAATAAAGTTAACTCAGTTGTCTCTGGCTTGCAGTGTCCCCTTTTTTCAAGGGCTTTGTCTTCGCCGACCCCTGGATGGGGAACTCGGTGGGGGAACTGACATTTCTGTCTGGAGGTGGGGGAAGAGGGCGTTCTGGATTACACACATTCAACCTTATTTATGTGTCACCTTCTGCCGTGTTTACCACCACATACACACTCGGCGACGTATTTTTCGAATGCTTTTTTAATTTTAAAAAGCAGCGTTGAATACATGAGCATCCTTTGGCCCTTGGCACAGCATACAAGCGGGCACCTGTTGGGCTAGTCCTTCCACAGCGTGGACACTCACCCAGTTACTGCTGGAGGCCCTGGGAAGGCGCGGGGCCAGAACAAGCCCTGCCCCCAGGGGGCTCCCACCCCACGGCGGTGTCGAGACTGTCTGCTGTGTTACAACCCGCTTGGGGTCCCACAGCTGGCGGGTCGCAGAGTGAGCTCTCATGCTCATTTCCTGGTACCAGGTTAGGTTTTTTATTATTATAGAGAAATTTTCAATGAGCAGCTGAGACCCCCTAGCCACTGAGCAAGCTTCAGAAATTTGTGTCAACACGCAGCTGCCACCCAGTTTAAGTTGTGTCGCAGCCAAGTCTGGTGGGAAAAGGGGACTGCTCCCAAGGGAGGGCTGGGCGGTGGGGCGACAGGCACCAGTGCAGCCCCAGAATAAGGTGCTTCCCTCCCATCTGCTCTCGGTCTCGGGCCCGGGCTGCTGCTCAGGAAAGCCTGTTTGCTCTCACTGGGCTGAGCTCTACTCTGGTTGTCTGTCCGGCCTGTCCTGTCTGCCTCCACATAGAGACTGGGGCCACCACTGGGCCTGTTGGTCCCCCTGCCCCTGGGGTCTGTGTGCCCCAGTGGTCGCCGGTCCGAGAAGCCCCGGAGCCACACTCGCCCTCCCGGAGCTGGGAACCACCTGGACTCCTGGACACCTGTCCTGGGAAGAGGGCGGACACAGTGGGCGCCCCCTGCCTCCACCTCCCAGTGGCGTCTCTGCCCTCACGCCCTCTGCCCCTCTCCTTCCCTCCATTCTCCCTCCCCTGGCCCCTCTCCTCTCACCCAGCCTGCCTTCTCTCTCCCCTCTCACGGGTTTGTTTTGCCTTTGTGTGTCTGTCCCACATGCTTTTCCCTCTCGCCATATTTCTCATCCTGGAAAACAGTCCTTTGCCAAAACTCTATTTGGCCTGATTCTGGGCCTCTGCTCCCTCCTCCCTGCCCGCCGCGTCCACCCCTTTCTTCTCGGGCCGCCGCCCCCCTGCCCCCCCGCCCCTCCCCCTCAGGCCCGGCTTTCTCCTGACAGATGGAGGGCAGCGAGCACTCCCTCTTTAAAACAACATTTAATCGCCGTTTTCTGTTCTTGGACATCAAAGCTGGGGCTTAGGCCCTGCGCTGGGGTCGCGGGGGTGTGGGCTCTGGGGGAGAGGAGGTGAGTGAATAGGGGCCGGGCTGAATGGGCTTTGTGTGGCCGCTCGGGTCTGCCTGCTTTACATGCTCTTTGACCCAGATATGATCTCATGGAGAGAAAGGGGCCCTGGCCTGGCCAGCCTGAGAACGCGCGGGCCTCCGCCTGCCCGCCCCCTCCTGCCGGCCCAGCTGCCCTCTGCCCAGCACTGCAGCCGTGGGCAGCCTCCGCGGGACAGCTGGCCACGAGGGTGCTCTGCTGGGGCCAGAAGCAGGGCCAGGCCGCCGAGGGAGGGGCACCCCTGCCCGGATGCGTCTCCATCTCTGGGAACTTGAGGTGGGAGCCCTGCACCATGCCACCCGCGGCATCCCGTCCTGGCCAGGGGCTGCTCTGTCCAGGTGGGCACTCACTCACGGAGACTCAGCCCTGACAGCTCTCCTCCCAGCCATCCTGAGGGGCTCCCCTCTGGCCAAAGGTGGCAGTGCCGAGGCCCAGAGCCTGCACAGACTTGCTGAAGGCTCAGGCAAGTTGTGGCAGGTGAGGAGAGGGGCCTGTGGAGCCCAGCCCAAGGCCGCAGGCTGCTACACCCAGCCTCACAGGGCCAGACCCCCACCAGGCTGATGGGCCCCGGAGGAGAGAACTGAGGACAGCCCGGGTGCTCTGCCTGCCTCTGTGCCCTCCTGGGCTCTGCAGCAGCCTGAGGATTTTCTGTACATGCAAATAGCATCCTGTTACTCCTTTGACTAAAGTCCCCAGTGGCTCCTTGTTACTCTTAGAATGGAAGTCAAACTCCTTGTCGTGGATGGCTCACGAGACCCTCTGTGATAGGGGCCCTGTGCTCACCCCCCAGCCTTGTCCAGGGTCGTCCCCGCATGCCCTGGTTCTGCTCCAGACAACTAGACCCCCGGTGGTTTCTAGAAGACACGGAGCTTCGTGCCCCCGGGGCCTTTGCACATGCTGGTTCCTCGGGGGACGCCACAGCACACAGGCCCACGTCCCAGGTGTGGCTATCTCAGCTTCTCAGTCGTCAGGCCTCGGCTCAAGCCCTGCCTCTCAGGAATGGTCCCTGGCCACGGAGGCTGAAGTCGGTGCCCTGGACAAAGCCTGTGTGGAACCATTGGTGGTTATACTGTAATCACCGGCTTTCTTGTCACCATTGACCCCACCGAGGTCCTTGAAGGCAGGAAGTGTGTGTTGCATATCTTCATATTCCCAGAGCCTGATGCTGTCTGGCAGACAATGGGCACCAGTAAATCTTTGTTGAATAAACGGATGAAAGAGAAGAAGGGGGCAAGCAAGGGCATTAACGTCTGGGGCTGAGGCTGCAGTCACCTGGACAGGTGAGACACAACAAGCAGGTGCCCAGCAAGTGCATGTCACAGTTGGCAGAGAGGCCTCAGTGGAGGCGGGCCTGCACCCCTCCCAGGTGCCCAAGTCACGGACAGATACCTGAACTGCTTCTGCCCGTCCCGAGGAGGAGTCCCGAGGAGGAGCAGCCGGCAGATGGAGGCTTGTCGCAGGCAGGGAGCTGCCTGGGCAGTGCTGAGAGTGTGCATGTCCACGTGGCCCCTGGCCAGGGTAGGGGCCACCCCAGCTCTCTGTGGTGAGGGCCCAGCCCCACCTCCCCACTCCCCAGTCTGCAGGAGGGCAGGCACCTCTCCTGGCTGTGTTTTCAGCTCTCCAGGGGGTGCCTCAGTGAAAGTGAACTCACTCATTTCAACCTGCCTCGCAGCCCTGCAGCCCCCCGCAGCGCTAATTACCCCGTAGTTCTAGACTGATTGCCGTGCACTACGCCTAAGCCCTCCTTTATTTATTTACTGACTACATCAATAGCGAAGCTGCTGCTCACAGCCGCTCCCAACTGTACGCCAGCGGGCGCGCCCCGTTCCTCTGCACCTCCCCAGGATGGGGAGGTGCAGGGACGCAGCCTGGCACAGGGCCCCCACATCTGCCACCAGCTCGTAGGCCCAGGGCCAGACGAGGAAACCATGCCTTTGTCCACCCTACTCCCAGGCCCGAGGCGGGTGGAGCTCCTCCGGTTCTGGCTCTTCCATAGAGTGGGCGTGCACACCCCACCCCACCCACCCACCGAGGGACCCTCCATTTTCAGGATGTTCCAGAAGCTTTTCTGCCTTTCGCAACTCCTATGGGTTGCTGAGCATCGGCTGTATTTTACAGGTGGGCAAACTGAGGCTGTGACTCCACAGCTGGCAGTGGGAAGGTGGGCCTCGAAGCCAGGACGTCCCATTGCAACAACTTTGTCCTTTCCTCTCCACATGCTGCCTGTGACAGGCGTCCTCCCCCCCACCCCAGCCCCACCCTCCCAGGCTCGGCAGTTCCCACGGAGCTGAAGTTGCCAAAGCTTCCACTCCTGGTCCTGAGGAAGGAAGCCCTGTGTTGCATCAAAATTTCTGCCTGCCAGCTTTTTCTGCCTCTTTCACATGCTTGCCCGGAATTTGCAGGCAAGGTGGGCACTAGAGCATTTTCCAGGGCGGCCCTAAGTCAGCTTAGCCACAGCGCATCCTCCACAGCTCATACCCGGGCAAGTCTGGGGGGTGGAGGCCAGCCGCAGGCTCCCTGGGGATGCGTCCTGTCTGTTCTCCCATCCTGGCTGGTGGTTCCTGCACCCGTGCTGATGCTGCCTGCTTGCCCGGTGCCCTGAAGGCCCCTGGGGCACAGAGGGACCCTGGCCTTGGGGTGTGACAGCACTGTGAAGACCAGGGGGGCACCATCAGGGTGCAGCACCAGGCACCCATGGAATCAGGCACCCCACTCCACTTTGATTAGCATGGTGGCTGCTGTGCTGGGCACCCTGGGGGAAGAGGGGCAGCAGGGGCCTGGCAGACAAAACCTGGGTTCAGAGTCAAGAGGACCTGGTTGGAGGCCGTCTCTGCCGTTCACTGTGTGACCTTGCCTGCGACTCAGAACCACTCCGTGTCCATCTCTGCAACTGTCGGACGGGGCAGTAATGTCCGCTCCTCCCCTCGGGACAGCCGTCAGCTGAAGTTAAGGCACGAGAATCCGCCTTCTAACGCGATGGTTCTGCAAAGATCAAAGTTATAAATAGGGGATAGAATCAGGGCTGGCCTGCGAGGGGAGCTGATGGTGTGGACACTGATTTCCATGTCAGGAGCCCAGAGCCAGGACCCAGGAGCCTGGGGGTCTGGAGAGGACTGGGCCTCTGCGGGCATCACTGGGACTCTGTCGCCACGCAGCGGGCACTGGCTGCAGGTGCTTCTGCTCCCAGGAGCCTGGAAAGCAGGAGAGTGCGTCCCCCTTGGTAAAAGGCTCTGGCCCCGTTGGGTCCCCTGCTATCATCTGGGCTGCATAACGCGGTCCAGATTTACACCAGCAATGGGACACCTTTAACTACTTCGGAGAAGGTTCATTGGGTTTTCCATAAGTTCTCCTGAGCCAATATTTCTACCTGACGCTTTTTATCCCACCTTTCCCCCACTGACTCCCTGGCCACGTCAAATCCAGCCCTCTCAACCCTGAAACACGGAACTGGGGACTGCCGTCAGTCCTCCCAAACCCCAGGAATCCATGGGGCCTCATCTTAACACTGAGGGGAGACCAACCTCAGTTGGAATC